GTTTAAATATTTCTAAACTTTCAGCTACGTCTACGTCTACGTCTGTAAAACATTCAAAGTTGAGAAAATGTGTTAGGAAAATTTACAGACTTACTTCTGTTAACCCCGTGTAATGATGAAAAATAAAAAATTTCGATTTATCCAATCTTTACGAATAACAGTCATTTGAATTTTAATCGAGTTTTTCAGTAATCCAAAAATCCAGTAAAAATAATGACTCCTGTAAAAAAATCTAAGTGTGTATACAGAAGCAGCGGAGCTGCACATTAGATTGATGCAAAATTTGAAATTTTCGCTCCACAGTGCTCAAACGGTTCCAAATTGGGTCCTGATTATCCTCCCAAAATTTGAACTCATTTAGTAAGAACTTGACTTGGCACAAACCATTTGAAGTTTATATAAAAATTACTATGGGAAAACCATAATTTCGGTTCATGTCTATCTCAAAATTCACAAGTTTGATATACTTTAGAAAATGATAACTGCGCTTGTTGAAAATTTTCTCAGCTACAAGTTTGTTCAAGACCACTTTTCGATCAAATGTAAGGAAGAAAAATTATTAATGATTCAAGTTACTGATGTCTTATGGTTATGCTCAATCAACTGTTCAGCTGGCAATATTGGTGTTTATGGCGCGTAGAATAGAGGACAAAAATCATGGCTACTATGTCACACTGCAGAATACAGTGTTGCCCACAACACAGTTGCTTAAACTTGCCATAAGATTATCAATCTCTTAAACAATTAATAACTATTTAATTTGACGTTTGGCTGAAAAACAATTTTCTGCTAAGATGTAGCTCATAAAAATTCCCATAAGAATAGCAATAGCACTTGTTAACAGTACAATATGGAAATAATAGATAATAAAAAATTTGGTTTCCCATAGAAATTTCCATATAAACTTAAAATGGTTTGTGCCAAGTCAGTTTCTTATCAAATGAGTTTAAACTTTCGGAGATCTGTACACTAGAAAAAATCGCCGCACTTGTGTTGTAAATTTGCTCTCTGTTTTGTGCTTGCGTTTGCTTTCATAGTTTTCGGGTGCTTTTGCTTGATTAGCGCTGACATTCTGCCTCCCGGACGGTTATACGTGCGTGATTGGTGGAAGTTTTAGAATCGAGAAAGAAAACGTGATTCATCATGTTTGCAAGCATCAGAAGAGATGTCGTCATCTACGTTTTGTTTTTTTAACTCTATTTGTTCCAAATTCAAAATAAATTACATTTCATTTTAACCTAGGTGCTCCAGTTACTACAGTAACTTACCAGCCTTAATTGTTATGATATATATCTATGTGTTTTTACATTGTTCCTGCCTTGGGAATTCAGTATTTTAAACAGGTTTTTTAAACCTGCATGTCAGTGTAACAATTGAAATCTTAAAACTAAAAACTAAAACTAAACCTTATCTAGGCATAAAGGGAATTAATCGTTGCAATTGGGGAGTGCAACGATTTTTGCCTGAAATTATTAATTATTTTGTTGGACATTTGTTCTAAAGTCTCAACATTCGAAATTCTATGTACTTCGGTAGTACTGTACCAGGGAGGCAACTTCAAAATCGCTTACGCTTGGCGTGTTTAGTGTAGGTGACACCATCACCTTTTAAATCAAACCGGAGATACGTCAGACACCGCCACGGCGAACCAGACGACGGATGGTGGTTATCTAGAAGAATTTGCGTTTGGTTCTGAATATGGCGATGAGTGTGCAAAATAATACGCAATTCCATCCTTCCTATTCACACGCGCCCGAGGATCGAAGGCGAATGCCACTTTGACTTGTTTCGTCTACTTACTACTCTCTGACGACTGTGCTGGGGAAGCAGCATATGCAGCAATTGGTGGATTTGTTAGTTAATTCGACGTTTTTGGACAATGCTGGACATTTACCATGTTTTCAATAGTTTACTGTATATATGCGTTAATATAAAGGATCTAGGTAGGAAACTGGTTTCTGAAGTCTCCTTCAGATACTACTCTCGGACGGTTGCCCAAATCCTGGCTGGGCAGGGGCAAGTAGCACAGAAACAGGAGGATAATAAGACTGGGACACAATGGCTGGAAATTGTTTGGTAAGGAGGGGATGGCTACATCAAACTCTAACATCAGACAAACTAAGGAATTCGTAGATCACCTGCATGTAGGGAAGATAACGGGTTCCCAATACATCTCTTACTTCACGGAAGTGTTGTCTACATCGGGCCACTAGGGTATCCAACAGTCGTGCTCTGGAGGCGTCATAACCCGGGCAACACCAAATTGCATGATCGATGTCATCATAACCGGTTCTACACCTACATATATTGCTGTCTACTAGGTTTATTCTGTAGAGATATGCGTCTAGCGAGTAGTGGTTGAACATAAGTCTTGACATCACGCGAATGAAGCCCTGACTTACATATAGACCTTTTAACCATGCTACCGAAGAAACATTTGGAATAATGTAATGTAACCACCGCCCAAAAGAATTACTTGTCCAATCGTTTCGCCAACTTAAAAGAGAACTCTGACGTACTAATGAGAAAAATTCATCATGTGAAATTCTTCTATCATAAACCTCGCCTTGTTGTGCACCTAACTTTGCGAGAGAGTCTGCCTTCTCGTTGCCTGGGATTGAGCAATGTGAGGGGACCCATACAAAGGTAATCATATATGATCTTTCGACCAGCAAACTCATCTGCTCCCTTACCTTTGAAAGGAAATTAAATGAGTGCCTACCTTTTTTCATCGACCGACTAGCCTCAATCAAACTGAGACTATCCGAGAAGATGAAGTAATGGTCTATGGGCATGTCGGAAATCATCCCCAATGCGAAGTTGATTGCTGCCAGCTCAGCAACATTAACGGAACAAGGTTCCTGAAGTTTTCGAAAGGCGGTTGAGTATTCATTGAAGACACCGAAGCCAGTGGATCCATCAATGCGTGATCCATCAGTGAAAAATCTTCTATTGCTCTAGGCTCATATTGTGTGTTGAATGCATACAGCCAAGGGCAATACGTAAACAACGGTATTGAATGCGACCCATCGCTGATTTTTTTGGTATGTTGTGTAGAAAATAAATTTTCAAAGAAAAATATAAAAACGTGTTACGCCGATTGTCTACAAACCATGAAAACCATAAACAACAAATATAATCAAAGTTCTTCTATACAAAACTCCAATTTTTAAAACTTATTATATATTTTTCTTAAAAGTATTTTTAATAACCTTTCATTTGATATTTTGATCATTCAAATCGACGTGTTCGGGGTATCATCCAAACCATTCGTGGGATAGTTTACCCATCGTTTATGGTATTTGTTTATTAGGGTTTGTGCCATTAAGTGAGAAAATAACTCTCTGAAAATTTCAGCTCATTCGGATGCAACACGAGCTGGCGCTTTTGGCTTAAAGTTTAATGGGGATTTTTTTCGAAATGTATGGAAAAATAACATTCCTTCAGTCTTGCGTGCATAAAACTAGTTCAGCACACTCTTTTCAGCACAGAATTTCAGCACATGTAGCTTAATCTATAAGGATCAACTTTACTGAAGACAGCATCATGATTCAAGCTAGTATTATGCAGATATTCATTCGTATATTGCAATAAAATACAGGCAGCTTATGCAACCGTATCAACTAGATTATCACTAAAAAATTAAAGTTAATATTTTCCACAGGTCAAGATATAGACTCGTGTCAGTAGGTGAGATAACCACTCTCTGAATGTTTCAGCTGTTTTTGACGCAACACGGACTGGTGCTTTTGGTTTAATGTTTATATAGGGGATTTAGTTGAAACTTTCATATACAAAATGCTCATATACATTAAAAAGCGAATATTTCAATAAAACTAACTGGATTCATGATCCAATCTTCAGCAAAGTTGTTACTCATTAACTAAATACAAGATTTGAAAATCTGAATCAAATCGAGGATAAGGAAACTTTTTTTATGATCGATAGAGTGTAGTAGTGTCATTTTTTCATCCCCATACAAAATTCAAATTAAAAGCGCCAGCTCATCCTACAACCAAATGAGCTAAAACTTTCAGATAATGAGTTTCTCACCTAAAAGCACAAATCTAGAGGTTGTCCCGTGGAAAATTAGAACTTTTATTTTTGTGGGCCAGGAGGTGCTCAAGAAGGAAAAAGTCGATTTTGTCGAAAAATTCCAAAATCCCCCAAACTGGGCAATAATTAAACAGCATCTTAAGGTGATACTCTAAGGAAGCCTTAGCGTGAAACTTTAAAGGCACAAATGTCAGCTTCCACAAAACATACAAATTTGAAATTGCTACTCTCTGTTTGTAGTAGCACAGCAAACAAGGAGTAGCAATTTCAAATTTGTATGTTTTGTGGAAGCTGACATGTGTACCTTTAAAGTTTCACGCTAATGCTTCCTTAGAGTACCTTAAGAAAGATGGAAGAGAAGCAAGCTCTGTTGACTGCTTCAAGAAAATTGGGTCTTGCAGCACAACGAAAAGTTAAGAAGAAAGTTATGCATAATCAAGAGAAAAGTCCAAGCGTTCTTCAAAAATGAGAAGTAAACATTCAAACTCATGTAAAATCGGTCATATGTATGTTGATTTTCATTTATCTAAAGTAAACTTACATTGTAAGGTAAAAGGTTTATAACATTGATTTGCCACAAATTTGTCGGATTAGCGGGGGGATACTGTATCTTGAAAAGACAATAAAACACATACGCATACTCCTTTAGAAAAAATCAGGCAGGAAAGTGACAATTTTTAATGGAAAATACCACCTTGGGTAGCAACCACCAACCAACCCTTTTATTCATAACTGAAAGTGTCGGCAACAATTGTCATTACTTAAAGCGGTTTGAGCTGAAAATTTTTTAATTTATGAAACAAAAATCGATTAGAAAGCATTCTAAATTATAAGAGTAGCTGTTATTTAGTGCTGTATTTTTATCGTTTCTAACTGCTGGCTCTTAGATGATACAGCTGACCCTACACATTAAAAATGGTTTAATAGTTCAAATTTATTTACAGGTCAGAATCGTCTTGAAAGTATCTTGCTGCAAAATGTAGAAAGAAAATTATTGATATCGTTACAGTATGCGACTGAACGGTTTCAACGGAGCCAGACGGCATACATGGACGAGCAAAACAATATGGAACAAAAATCTAAGGTGTTTTTTGAGAATATTTCAACAAACGTTGATTCAATCGGTAATAATTCTGTGGATACCTTCGACAACTTTCTCAATATGAACGTATCATTATCATCATCGAAGGGCAATCCCTATGATAACGATGATGAAAAACTGGATGACTATTTTCAACTACCCGCGTCAGGTATGAGTATAAATCAAAAACAACTAATGCTCATTGAAGCTGGAAATACCAAAATGATTCAAAGTCGAGAGCAGGAAGTATCGAAAATAGTAAATTCTATTGTTGATTTGAATACGGTTTTTAAAGATCTTTCGCATTTAGTACAGGAGCAAGGTACAATATTAGACAGAATTGACTATAATATAGAATCAACTCAAACCAAGGTTTTTGAGGGATACAAACAGCTTCAAAAGGCTGAGAAATACCAAAGAAAAAACAAGAAAATGTATTGCATACTTATTTTAGCGAGCATGATTATGTTCATGATAATTTTAACTATATTCACCAATTTCTAATCACAGCAAATAATAACGCATATTACAATACATGATGTGCCTTTATGTTGTAAATTTAAAACACCCGAAATCCCTTAAAAATTACATTTCTATTTTATACTTGAGAATTAGAATATGTATTTTCTTTCAAAAATTCTTCATCGAATGTAGCGCATTTATTGTTACTTTTTCGTTTATTGCAAGTGGTATTATATATCTCTATCAGTTAAACCTGGTTTAATATAGTATAAATTCAACAATTTCCACTATTCGGGAAGGATCAAAAGCATTATGTTCTACTAATTGGTCTCATGCAGGTTTTTGAGTGAAAAAACTTCGTTGCTCGTTGTCGATATTTTACTTGCTATTTCTGTAGTATTTTGGAACATCATTTGGATCAAGACCTAGTTTCTTCATTTCCACGGCTAGTGAAAACAAATAGTCATAGCACTCCGCCCTTAAATCAGAATATTTTTATTATTATTTTTTAAATCAAGGTGATACACTACAACTAAACTTACATTGCCTTTGCTTTTTGCCAATTATGACCCCAAACATAGACTCCATGACGCCTTACAAGGATTGCCGATGTGCCAGGATATTCTTTCATTGCATTTTCCATACGCTCTTCTAAATCGCTTTCCAACGGCGTATTCTCAATTATCGGAACGACCAGCTCCTCATCAAATCGAAGGTTACGTTCTAGCTCATGGTCGTATATGCCCTGATTAAAATGAATATTATTACAGATCGATTATTTTTTAAATAGGTTTTATCTGCTTTTGACGATTCAAAATCGAGAACTTAGCGGTGTTTGTGACTTTAATTTACCTTTGTAAACTTATGATTGTTGGTGTTAATCTGTATTTATTTGAAAACCACTAGGTCATTATTTTTAAATTGATGAAAGCAGATAGGGTAGAAGTGAAAAAATAATGAGAAATATTCGTAGCAAGTCTCCATTCACCCCCCCCCCCCCCACCACACACACACACACACACACACACACACACACACACACACACACACACACACACACACACACACACACACACACACACACACACACATACACACACACAAACACACACACACACACACACACACACACACATACACACACACCCGTGCGTAATGCACGGCCCCCTCCGAAGTAATACGACAAGTGGTTCCGGGGGCAAAGGGCAAGGCGTCCAAGGAGGTTTTAGTGCGGTAAGAATCTCTTACACCGTGTCACAGCGACAGTGCGCCCAGTCGTCAAGCGGTGGCACGATGGCGTTTTTGCCAAAAAAAAAAGCAGAGGAACATACACATACATCCAAAATAATGTTGAACAGAGTTGTTCAACATTATTTTGGATGTATGTGTATGTTCCTATGCTTTTTTTTTTGGCAAAAACGCCATCGTGCCACCGCTTGACGACTGGTCGAAGCAGTAACAAAGTAACAAGAGGCGTCTTCTGGTCAGTATGTCGTCGTTGAAACTGAGGTACGGAGGTCCAGCCTGGGTTGCAGCGGTGAAAACAAAACAGAACCAAAGGAAACTAAGTAGTACGTTCCGGCTCATAACCATGCGAGTCGTGAGTGCGTATGGTACCATTTCATCGGAAGTAGTATGCGTTATCGCTGGAATAGTTGCTATCGGCATCGCCCTGGCGGAGTATAGTGAGTACTACAGGTGGAGAGAACCAGAGGTGTACGAAAATTGTTAAGAGTGGAGTCGATGGCCAAGTGGACAGGAACGGGCCTCGGCAGAGAACGGTAGATAGACTCATCGGGTAATTCCGATTATTTCGGCCTTGGTGAACAGGAAGCATGGAGAGGTTCCAGTTTATGTCTATTCATGGTTTTTTCAGGAAGTACCTTCATTCCTCTATCGCCGGAGCATGTGGTCTTCGGCTGTCCAAGGTTCGAGGCAGTGCGAAGGGAGATGCCCATTCTTAACGTGGAAAAGTCGTCGATGGATGAAAATGATAAAGGCGGGGGATGGTCGTTTTCCATCTCAGACGACGAAACTCTTAATTCCCCCTCACACGAAAGTCTCGAGGACGTTGTTTAAATGGATACCCTTGACGGACTCGCTCTCCAACAAAAATACTGGAGCATATCCCAAGAAAAGTTATCGCCCACAGCCCTCTCCCACACCATCTCCTCCTCGCCCACCTGCACCCCCACACCATTGCCCCCGAAAATCTCTGCGCTCCCCCGCCTAAAGGCTTAAGGCCTAAACGCAATGTGGGCGGAAACGGAACGGAAACGGAAAGTTTGACAGTTGTCACAAATGACATCAATATGCCTAACCGAAGTCGATTTGATTCTAACTAGTTTTCAATCCGACAAGTAGGCTTACTCAGATCGGGCTTTTCCGCTGCCGCTGCCGTTCCGCTTCCGCAGTCATTGCGCTTGGGCCTTTACCCAGAAGCCTCGAAAGGCCCATGGGTTGTTTTTTCCGGCCCAAACAAAAACCTTTGAACATTCCGAGCATATCTGAAGATCTAAGAACACATTTTTCGGCCATTACCGATATTTTTAAGGTGACACCAATAAAACTGCGCGTTACCGTTGATGACCGGAAGCAGGCTAACCAAATTATTGCGTGCGAGCTTTTTTCATTGGAATACCGAGTCTACATACCCACTAGAAATTGAAGGAGTGGTCACCGAAGCAAGTTTGACTAGTAATTTCTTAGGTCTTTAAAACCGTGCTCTTCCTTGTCAAACTCGTTTCGTGTAACCTTTTCGGGTTCAGCATTACCTCACTACGTCGCTATTGGCAAGGTTCGGCTGCCTGTACGTCTGTTTGTACATCGGGTAATGAACTGCTCGAAATGCAAACAACTTGGTCACACATCGGACTACTGCTCGAACAAACCACGCTGCGAGCAGCATCAAGAGAGTCCTTGCAGTGCTCCTCCAAAATGCGTGTAATGCAAGGAGAGCCTTGGGCTACAAAATGGTGAGTTGACAACCTGGAAGGAGCGGAATACCTAGCCCTGGTCCTCACAAGTTCCTACTGCACGCCTTCTCGAGTCATATGATAACAAAAGGCTACTAGCTGAAACATGGACACAGCTGGGAGGCGTAGCCTGGGCAATGTTGCCAGTCCGGCAATAGCAAAGTGAAGAGGTGCGACGCGAACACTGGCGCGGTAACCATAGTACAGTGATAGAGGAAAAGAGATGAACTAGCCTCAGGCTAAAAATCTCTAAAATAAAGATTAAAAAAAAAAAAAAAAAAAAGTGATAGAGGAAATGCTTCACCAAACCTGAGCGTCTGTTCATCATGGAAGTGCGGCTCAAAACGGCGTCTGTTCTCCATGTTAGGAGCGGCTGATAACCGTCCTAGTGCCAGCGTGGGACTCTAAACAGAGCTGTGCACGATGGTCCCCCGGCGAGACAGGGGGTTGGGGCAGGCCCAACAAGCCGCCCTGAAAAAAAAAACAAAGTTGCAAATACTGACGAAAGAAATACGGATTGGAACAATCGGTACAGACCTACGCGACGAAATAAGGACTACGATTGGAAACTCGGAACATGGAACTGCAAATCGCTCGGCTTCCCGGTTTGCGATAGGTTAATCTATGACGAACTTCAACCACGCAACTTCGAAGTCGTAGCACTGCAGGAACTTTGCTCGACGGGACAAAAGGTATGGAAAAGCGGGCATCGAGCGACTACTTTCTACCAGAACTGTGGCACCACCAACGAGCTGGGAACCGGCTTTGTAGTGCTGGGTAAGATGCGCCAAAGCGTGATTGGTTGGCAGTAGATCAACGATGTGCAAGTTGAGGATTAAGGGCCGTTTCTTCAGCTACAGTATCATCAACGTGCCGTGCCCACACGAAGAGAGACCCGACGACGAGAAAGAAGCGTTCTATGCGCAGCTGGAGCAGGTGTACGACGGTTGTTCGCAACGGGATGTCAAAATCGTCATCGGCAACATGAACGCTCAGGTAGGACGGGAGGCAATGTATAGACCGGCAATCGGGCCAAACAGCCTGCATGCCGTATCGAACGACAACGGCCAACGATGCGTGAACTTTGCAGCCTCTCGGGGTATGGTAGTTCGAAGTACATTTTTCCCCCGCAAGGATATCCACAAAGCCACCTGTAGATCACCTGACCAACACACAGAAAACCAAATTGATCACGTTTTTATCGACGGGAAATTCTTCTCCGACATTATCAACGTCCGCACGTACCGCAGTGCGAACATATATTCGGACCACTACCTAGTTGCAGTATGCATTATCACCTTATTATACAAAAAGTGCTTAGGGAATTAAAGAAAAAGTATCATAAGGCTAATATTTTAGAGGATAATAATGGTAGTTTACCAGTAATAGTAGTGTTTGCAGATGATGTATTAATAATAGCAGAAAATATAAAAGAAATAGAAAATGTAATTAAAATACTTAAGGAAGAGTTAGGTAAAATAGGGTTAGAAATAAATAATGCAAAAAGTAAAATTATGATAAGGGAACCAAAAACAGATAGAGAAGAGCTAGAGGTAGTTAATAATATGAAATATCTAGGTACATACTTGACAAAAACACTAGATAGGCCACAAACGACAAGAAAAAGATGTAAACAAGCAATAGGTAGTAGTAAATTTATGATAGAATTATTAAGAAGGTATAAACCACCGTGGAAATTAGCTAAATTAATGTATAAGACAGTTATATCACCCACAAACACGTACGGACTTAAGGCTGCCACATTAATTAAAAGAAATAGGAAATCAATCAGCAAATACGAGATGCAGATATTAAAGGAAATGTTGCAATATTGTAGAGATAGGCCAAAAGGTAGATTAACAGTGTCAAAGCTTTTAGATGGAAAGACAGCAGTAAAGAAAAATCAGGGTGATGAGAATAAATTATTGGGGTCACATTTAAAGAAGACCTGAAGGACATCCATTGAAGGTAGCACAGAAAATGAAAGAAAATACTGAAGGTAGACCAGCCAAGACATGGAATGATTGTTTAAAAGAAGATAAAAGTAAATTAATAAATACAACAGAAGAAGAGTGGATAACATTAGCTAGGGATAGGGATAAGTTGAAAAGG